AGAAGTTTTTTGATTCTTCTCATAAAAATAGATAAGCTTGTTGGTTACTTGGGACCATAATTTTCCAGTCTGAATAATGAACACAGCCTAGCCAGATAAAAGGAGATGGCTTTGGGTTGAATTAATTTTTTCTTTCCTTACTGACTGGGTAAAGAGAAGATGTGTGTGAAGGAGCTAGGCCTCATGCCCACTCTGATTGTAATTGTCGTTTTTTTCTTTCTGAGTGAGATGTGAGAGTTCAGAAATGCCTAAAACCGTAGCCTCCTGTCTGTGGGAAATACATCTGTAAAGAAGACAGCAATTTTATCTCCTTTCCGTCTTTTCTCTCTCAGGTAACCAGCTCTCCCACCTGCACAGACATGAGTAACATTTGTCAACCAACAGAGTTTATCTCCCGACACAACATTGAAGGAACCTTCACTTTTGTGGATCACCGCTGTGTGGCTACTGTTGGCTACCAGCCCCAGGTGAGGAGCTGAAGCTGTCACACCACTTAGAGTGGGGCCTCTGTTTGCCCTTGGCTGTGTCGAGATGTCAGCCCCGGCTCAGAAACAGGGACAACCCCATTCTCTCAGTAGCTAGCCTACCAAGGTTAGAGTCCCATCTAGAGAAATACGACCTGTGAGATGAAGTAGGAGAAGCAGATATGAATATGTATTTATTTTGTGTTATTGATATTAATACAGATAATGACGTAGAAGTACTCAGTTATAATGGTATGGCTGCCTTTCGATAAATCATATTATCACCCAGGTGACTAGTAACCCACAAAATATGCAAATTTAGCACCAGTTTTTATAGTTTTATTTAGATTTCTCATTTTACAGGCCAGTTAACTATACCTGAGTTGGGGTATAAATCATTATATAAACTTCCAGCCAGGGGTTACTTCTGGTTATGGCTGGATGAAGAGATTTTGAAAAAGAAGAACAAAATTGGAGGATTTACACTACTGGGTTCAGCACTTAGATTATAAAACTGTTGTTATCAAGACAGTGTAGTGATAGTGTAAGGATGGAGCTATGATCAGTGGAACAGAATAGTCTGGTCTCACATTTGTGATTAACTGATTTTCCACAAAGGTGCCAATACGTTCAGTGGGGAAATCTTCCAACAAATGGTGTTGGGACAATTAAATACCTGTATGCAAAAAAAAACAAAAAAAAACTGATTTAGACCCTTACCTCACATCATACACAAAAGTCAGCCTAAAGACCTCAGTGTAACAGCTATAACTATAAACTCTCTAGGAGAAAATCTTTGTGACCTTGAGTTAGGCAGAGATATCTTTTATGACATTAAAAGCATAATTCACAAAGGAAAAAGTTGATAAATTGGACTTCATCAAAATTAAAATTTACTCTCTTAAAAGTACATCATTCCTGGCTACCAAAATTTGACCATTCTAACTGGGGGGTCACAATGGATGGTCCCAGGTAGAGTGGGAGAAGAATTTAAAAAACTCAAATTCTTTAAAACAAACAAAAAAACCAGACAGATTGGAATAGTAGAGAGCAGAGGACTCCCTGAGACCATCACCCTGTGACGCTCTTTAAACCTAGAGCTGAGTCTGTCCCCTGAGGTCACCTTTTAGTGAAATAACAGACTGGCACACAAAATAAAGGACATTACCCATAAGATTGGTGCCCTACTTAAAAACCATCTGTATGAGACCAAAGGTCAACAATTACCCAGAAGCAAAGATGAGAGAGAAGGGGACAGGGAAAGGAGAGTACTGGAAATGGAACAAACAGAACACCAAGAGAATGCTGACACACCGTGACGAGTATAGCTGATGTCGCTGAACAGAATATATAACGAACTCTTACAGCTCATTAAGACAAACAACCAACAAAAAAAGGGCACAGGATTTGAGTAGACATTTCACCAAAGAGGAATATGAACGGCCAATAAGCACGTGAAAAGACGTTCAGCATCATTAGTCGTCAGGAAAATGCAGACACCACAATGAGGTAGCACTAGACACCCACCAGAATGGCTGTGAGCAAAAAGACTGATGGTAGCCAGTGTTGGTGGAAATGTGGGAAACTGGAGCCCCCATACATCGCTGACAGATACGTTCAGTGGCAT